GAAGTTAAGAAAAAGTGGTAACACAGGGTCTAAAATCTGATAGATGTATTTCATCCTTACATCCCTGTCAGGTGAATGTCACTATCGTACAATGTGTATGCACCCATTTCTTGATATTTGTGTCTTTCTCTATCGCAGGTGTCAGCTCCATACCCAACTCCTGAGATCCCAGAAGTTGCATGATCGAGAGCTGTGCGTCATCCGTGAGCAACTGCTAGAATCAGAGATGCAGGAGCGCCGTCTACATCAGGAGGTTGCTAATCGCAATGCATCATTAACTGAACAACAGCAAGCATTGCAATATGCACAGCAAAGACTGCAATCCATGGCTGATAACTTGGAGAGATTCTCTGATCAGAAGTCAACCATTGAGGTTAGCTGGCAGTCACCAGTCACTTTTATTACTGCTACCAACCTCAATGGATAGACTGATTTCTTGGACATTACAGTGGCCTGCGGTCACTCTAGACTAAACGTAAAGTAGTAGATAGAAAGTTACTATTTCTAACTTGATTTGATTAACATTATTTTCATTGTCCCCAACAGCCTCAATTTCACTGTTGCTTGAACTACAAGTTCAAATTTTAAGTTTGCCTAGCAAGTATGACTTTGCACTGTCACTCCTGTATTCTGTAGTCTAATAGCAGTCAACATAACACGTGTTGCTGAATCTCACCAATATAACAAACAAAGATGATTGTTTCATGTACATTGTTAATGAAATTGAAATTTCACCCATTTCCAATTTTTTTCAATTTAATTTATTTTCTTGGCATGTTTTTACCAGAAACTCCAAACTGAGACAGCTAAACTGACCAGCAGCCTGCGAGTTGCCCAGAGGGAGAAGGGCCTCCTACAAGAACAGCTGGACAATGTCTTGTCAGGCTGTTTCTCAATCCAGCAATGAGGATGACGTTGATGGGGAGTGGCATCGCAGCCAACAGCAGTCAGAAATAAGCTGATTAGAGAAAACCTGAGTCTCAAGAAGGAGGTAAGCAGACTTCCATTTAGTGCGATGCTTTGGATTCAGTTTTATGGACAATTCATTATTCAAATAATGAATGTTTATGAGTGCAATGGTGAGAATAATTTCATAAGTTGAATGATTGAATGTTCGCCGAGTTGAATGGAACATTCCATCCTCCAACGAATGAAAATATTGTCACCATTGCACGAATGCAAAACATTCATTATTTGTTTGAAACAACAACATCCAAGTAGATCTTTGTCATTCAATGGAGGATAAAACTTTAAGAACAAACAAAACTCACAAAATTGTATCATATCCACTACATTGTTTAGTTTGTTCAAGGCTAACAAAGGTTTAAAAGTCAAATCATTGACAATAATGAATAGCGCCGGGCCACTGCGCGCGGCGTGCAATAGATCAAAAGGGATGGGACGAAAATGCACGGTGAATGGAACCAAAAATGCACGGTTATGAAGTAGGCAATGCAATGGTTCAATTAATGAATCCTCCAATCAAATGACAAGGATTTACTTGGGTGTTATATAAACTTTGATATAAGTATTGAATAGGCCAAATCAACATCTGGATTTTGGATAACCAAACGCACGTGATGCTGCAAGCCTGCCAACTGTTGGACTAGGACTGCTGATACATTGTATTTATCCAAAAAATGCATAGCTGGTGACAGTTTGCACATGTGCCAGTGAAATGTCCATTTGGCTTATTGTGCTGTCAAGATTTCTCTGTGTCTCACACGATGCACATGCAAAAACAAAGCTGCTTCCAGGCAATCTCCAAAAAGCAAAATGACAAACCAACTTTACATTTGCTTCATGAATTATTAGAAGCTGTTGGAAAAGTGTGCTTCATTCTTTCTGAGGGTTCATACACTTTAAACCCTATAATGTTTAACTTATAAACGCTTTTTGCAACAATTTATGTAGATTGTAAACCCCTCGTATTTAACTTGTGTTTAAGTTATAAAGGTTCATGTTTTTACAGTGTAATGAGTACCACTCAAATTGAGCCCTTAAAAGCATATGGGCATTTCCATGGTAACTGGCTACTGGCGTTATGGTTAAAAGAGGAGTCTTCCATCAGCTCTGTGCTGTTCTATAAAGTCAAAGCATTTAGAGTGGATTTTTCTCACAGAAGATCCCTTAATTTAAGTGTCTAAACAAAGTTAAGTGTCAAAAAAAGACGCCAACAAAACAAAATTCTGTTGGTTTAGCAGTAACTTTTTACATGTTTTAAGCTCTGGCAGGAGCTTCTTCATGTCACTTTGTGTCGGTTGGTCGGTCGATAGGTCTGTCCTTGGAAAGTTGATCAAAAATGGACCCCCTAAGTTTGCCATAAAATATAACTACCCAAAATTTAGCAAATGCAATGCCGTCGTCAGTAAATGCACTCTGGGCGAAAGTTTTTGTCTTGATCGACGTGCATGCGCGTCTATTTTGCATATGAAGTGAGACATTCCGGAACCGGGCCAGTTTTTTTGTGCACTCGCCTTGTCGGTTTATGGGTGACTTGCGTTACAAGTTTATGAAGGTTTGAATTCTAGCAAGTACCGGTAGCAGAGGAATTAAGCAAAATGTTATGCTTTCCTTTCTGTGTGCATGAATATTTTCATTTTTCATGTTTTTATTTCAAGTATTCAATTCTAGATACTGTAAGTTGTGCGCAACTTATGTGCAGCAAATTTTCCTTCGGTTTGGCAGTTCAGCAGATTTTACTTTCATTTCTTTCTATATTTGTTGCAGTTGGAGAGGCTGAGAGTTTGCTTAGTTGAACGCCAGGAGCACTATGAGACATTGAATGCTAGAGCTACCAAACATGTAAATATAATAGAGACTGTCCTATGAGACATTGAATGCTAGAGCTACCAAACATGTAAATATAATATAGACTGTCCTATGAGACATTGAATGCTAGAGCTACCAAACATGTAAATATAAATACAGACTGTCCTATGAGACATTGAATGCTAAGCTAGCTAAACATGTAAATATAATACAGACTGTCCTATGAGACATTGAATGCTAGAGCTACCAAACATGTAAATATAATAGAGACTGTCCTATGAGACATTGAATGCTAGAGCTACCAAACATGTAAATATAATAGAGACTGTCCTATGAGACATTGAATGCTAGAGCTACCAAACATGTAAATATAATAGAGACTGTAGACCGAGGGAGGAAAATATAATGTTTGCTCATAAATATAAAAAAAAAAAAACGCCCATTGAGCAGATTTAGGAGGGCTTTATTGTATTAACAAATCTTTCTGGAAATCCTTCATGCCACTGACTTCAATAAACCTTTATTTTTTCATCTGGGGTCAATTTCAACAAGCTGTTAGGCATGGACTAATGATGTGCAAACTCGACCCGAAACCGAAACCGACCCGACCCGAAACCGACTTTGGGTCGGGTCGGTTTGTCCATCTTTTTGGGTCAGGTCGGTTTCGGTTTTGCATTGATATTTTCGGGTCGGGTCAGTTTAGCCATCTTTTGAAAAAAAACGAAATAAACCGAAATAAACCGAAACAGTTGAGAAATTTAGGTGATGCAATATTATTGACAGTCACTGTGACCGCAGCCCTAGTGTGGTGTGGCCACCGAGCGCACTATCAAGTTCCCACGGTATTAATTTCTCCAGTCGGATGGGACTGACAGTGAAATAGATAAGATTGTAACAGTTTTCATGATACCGTGCCTGAGGATACCATGCGTTTGTCCAGTAAGTGGAGTTACTCTCGATCAACCCACCGAGTATGACAGAGAGAGAGACGATGGTTTTGCAAAAGAATTCATGCCACGTGGGTAAGGGCAGGCACACAAAAAGTGATCACTTTGTCCAAGCAATTAAGGCATTCGTTTTTTTTTTTTGGTTTTTATCGGGTCGGGTCAGTTCGGGTCGGTTTTACCTTATTTTTTGTCGGGTCGGGTCGGTTTGAGGGAGTTAGATCGTTTTCGGTTCGGATTCAGTTTATATCTCTAATGTTTCGGGTCAGTTTGGCCTGGTCATACCCCCCTTACCCCCCCCCCCCAATCTTTTTTTACGAAGTGCCTTTTTTTCCTTAACAAGTGCCCTTATCAAAAAAGAAGTGGTGCCCTTTTTTGTGGCATCTGCCGTTTTCAGAATTTCGCACATGTATCGCCCTGAAAAGCACCATATATTGGCCCTTTGTGTGCATAATTGTCGGTTTTGAACAGCGCCGCCATCGACAGATTGTACCCCCCCCCCCCTTTTTTG